GAGCTTCCGAGTGATCAAAATGAACCGTGAATGCGTCCGTGGACTTTGGGCCGGCCAGCAACAGGAGCTGGTGTATCTGAGAAACAGAAATCCGGAGCGCGGCTCGATACAGAACGCTAAACAAGCTCTAAGAAATATAATCAACAGTTCTTGTGACCAACCGATTGGGTATCCGATCTATGTCTCCCCTTTGACGACCAGTTACGCTGAGACTAACGAATATTTGTGCTCGATAATCGGAGGACCATTAACTTTCGGTACTATAAAAAGCACTGTATTGAAACTATGGAGAAGGTACGTATTTAGAATGAAAATGATTTTATCTCAAACCATATTTAATCTAATTTTAAATAGGCAACGTAATAAATTTATTTCTGGATCTGACAATGAACTTTTCTCATTTTTAGAATAAGAAGAAGATGTGGTCAAGGTTGTTCCTCAGGCGGTACTGGTTCCCAAGATGACGGAGGCTTCGGAAATGATGGAGTATACGCGATGACTACATACAACATACATTCTGGTATTTGCAAATATCTATTTGATAATCAATGTTATTGCAATAGTTCATCAATCTCAACAACAATCTCATATTTAGATTATATTATTCTTACATGCATAATTTATGAATGATAGGCTATGCTCAATCGGGTCACAACACTTCCGGTTCTCAATCAATGGAGTCTGGCTGTCAAATCGGCGGTTCGACTGGTCGGGGTTCCCTCGGTCGTGCAAATACGGGTTCTCTCGGTGGTAACAGAGGCTCGCTAGCTTCCGTCGGGAAGCCAACCAGCTCGACACTCGCCAGTTTGGCCGGACTTCTCAGTAATAATGATATTAAAATGGAAACGAAGAGTGAGACGAGTTTTTCCAGTAAGCTAGAAAAAGAGGAAGTTTTTCAAAGAGTTCGCGTAAGTATTATAGCATCATATGCATCAAGTTTACATCAACTTATTGATTATATGTAAAATGTAAAATGTAAAAATTATATGTAAAAATGCCTTAGAATCACTCTCAACCATATTAATTCCATTAGTCGAATTAAAATGAATTGTTTAAAATTATATCTGATGTTTTATTCAAGTATTATAGTTTTATTATTTGAAACTTTTAATCGCTATCTGATTAGTATTATTGGTAGATTTATATGAAAGAAGTAGAAATATTTTATAAAAATATAGGTGAATCATTAATGAGACGATTTTTCTTGAACAGATTATGGACCCTAATCAAGTATACGACGCTATCAATTTGGGTCGACGTATAGATGTGATTTGGCCAGACGAAAGGATGCGACAGCAAGGTGGTCGTTCCGGCTGGCAACATTGGGTACCAGAGAGAGGCATGGAGGGTTGCGTAGTTCATCGTTGGTCGCCGAATCATCGCGACCCCAATCGACGATCGCACGTCGACAAAGTCATCCTGCTCGTGAAGATTGAGGACAAGTATGTGCCGATAGCCGAGCAAGGCGTACGCGATCTGGGAGCAGAAGTTTAGCATAACATCTCCGAAATGCGTCAACATACAGTCATTTTTGTACACTTGTTCTACCGACTAGCAGACTTGCGGATGTATTCCATACGTATCGACTGCTGGCCATCTGCGATCCGATTTTCACTCGAAAGTTTTGTCTGGCATTAACGTGAAAGCGTGGAAATTAATTTCTAATGCGAACAAATATATCATACTGACAATGTCGAACGCTAGTTACCTACTTCCACAAAGTCAATACTCGCCATTAGATCGTAAATTGAAGGACTCGGATTAATGACATGCTCAATCATGTGAAATCCTTAACTTATTTCAATTGATAAGTTTCACTGTGGTTACAATCGCAACGTTTAGCATCTCGTTTTTCCTGTTTTGTTTTTAAGGTATTGAAGAACTTGCGATATTTTTCACTTATTTCACTATAGAATTGTCCGTGAAACTTCCTTCATATCTTTCTCCTAGCATGTTGTTGCCGCAAACCCCTTCGATTTGGTCTCATTTTTGTTGATATTGTACTTAGAAGTTTTGCAGATACAACTCGATAATATTCTTCGTCAGATTCAATGTCCTGTTCTTTTCATCTTGATCGTCATTGAATCGCTAAAGTGTCGGACATTTCAATGCGAAACTCAAATATGTTGCAAGAATTGTAGAGACTGTATAGAGAGAGGAGACAGAGAGATACATACAAATATTTTATCACCTTGTAAGTACTATGGATATATATATTGTTATTTCTCACGAATTGCATGAGAAGATAAAATGCCAATCGCCAAGTTATTCAATGCAATCCGAATTGTATCATGTTGTACCATACATACTGTATATTAAAATATGATGATATATTAGTTCATTTATGGGAACAGATGTTACTTGTTGCCCAATATATCTAGATTATTTACTATCGATTAATAGAGAAAAGGTAGCGTCCGAACGCATTTCTCTTCCACTAATCTGATGTAAATGCGGTATATATTTTTTGGCAGTGAAAGAAAGGATAAAAAGAAAAGAATGAATCATAAAATAGAAGTATATTATTTATGGATATGTAATAATGTATCATATAGACAAGAGGGAATCTCTTTAAATGTATTATTGCTGCATAGCAGATACAATAAGTGGCATCGATAGGATTAATTGTATATAAAAGTGTCATTCGTGTTTTTCTACATTTTGTTACGATTCTCTTTTTTAAAAAGTAAGAGCATTGTAGATATATAAATTGTATATACGTCGTTATACACTGCATTGTCGCAGACTTCAAAGCGTCCAGGATCTATTCTATTTGAGTATATATATATAATTTTGCGGGATCACGAAGTCACTCTAGCAGGACATATCGACGTGAACTAAAATAGCGGTGTCATCTCGTTCATTTCCACGCCGTGTCCATGTACAAAAACTCTCGAATTTGTGCTTGGTATTACTTAATTACTCGCAGGATTGTTAGTCGACAGTGCATTTACATCCGATGGATATCTCGTTATTATGTATTGATGATATCATATATTGAGTACACTGATGTAATGCTCCATCGGGCAACGAAATGTATGTAATGTTATCCTTAAGAGAAAGTTACGAATCGTTTCTTTTTTCTTCTTTTTCTTTTAATTTTGTATATAATTTCTGTAAATCAATTTCTGCTTCACTTGTTTCCTTATAAATTTTATGTACGAATTAGAGACATAAATATTGGTTATTTAAATAATAAGAAACGCAAGGTTGCTTGCAAAAAATATGCTTAAATCTAAAGCACTTAACTTGTTCGTTCGTTATCGTGTAGAAAAAAATATATATGTATATGTATATATACATAAGATATATAAATATTCATATATATTTGGTAAATAGAAAAGAGTAATAGTTTTTTGCAAGTGACCACAGAATCACAGCATTGCCTTATCATGGTGTCTTAAAAAGCACCTGACTGATAATGAAAAAGATTATAGCTAGTCTTTTAATTAAATGTTGGTAACACATTTATGTATCGCTTGCTGCCGAAAGACGCAAGGGAGTGGGAAGGGGGAGAAGGATGCTCTTTCACTACAGAATTACGTGAAGTAATCTATTATAATCTCTGGCCTACTATATCTTTAATGGACAGTACTTTCGTACACTGATTGTAAACAATGATCAACAATAAACGAAGAAATTGAAATCTGATTAGATAATGATTTATCTCGGCTGCACTGCCACGAAGATACGTGATTTACGTAGCTGTTAAAGTAACTGTCCTCTAGCCTCGAATAACTTATTGAAATTAATATATACATTTTGTACAATTTAAGATAGCGTATAAATTATCTATTGAACATTATTATTATTATTAATTATATTATTAAACGAAATTAAGTTATATCA